AGCACCAGTGGACCAAACCCCGGGAGAGCAGGGCCAGGAGCGAGGGGAGGACTGGGGCCTCATGGAGGATGCGTCTTGACATCTGGAAAGACTGGGAGGATTTGAGAGGGAGAGGAAGAAGCGGGGTCCCCCTCCTCACCACATGCTTTGTCCCACACTGAGCTGTGACCTTGGAGGACTTTATTAACATCCTAATTGTGTGCAGCTGGCCTCCCACTGGCCCTAATGAGCTCATTATCCTCATCCTTAAGGAGGCCATTGTGGCCTGGTCGCCCTGGGGACGGCAGTGGACCGGGAGTGCCCATCACTTCCTGCCTCCCCCAGCCAGACTCAGCCCCCTCTCGGAAAGGCTAAGACCCCAGCCGCTTCACTGTCTCTCAGCTCCTCCGCCTCAGTCCTTCTCTTGCTCTTGCTCTTGCCGTGTGTCACTGGCAGTTCCTCTCTTCCCCACCACGCCCTCAGGTGACCAGGCAGGTGGATCAGTGAGCTGAGGCTGAGACCTTGCCCACGGAGAGGGTGTGGTCCTGGGCTGCCTGGGCTGTCTCCCCGAGCTGCTCAGCCCTCCTGACGCCTTCTCCTCTCGGTGGCCCCTGGACCCTTGCGTAGTGATTGTCCCTGAGGCCCACCGAGCAAAGCCAGCTGCAAACGACAGGGGACATCACCACTCCCTCTGGGCCTTTGCCTCCTGGGTAGGGTTGGGTCCTGGCCTCTGGCCCTGCAGAAACATAGGCCCTGGTGGAGGAGAGGAGTGACATTCGCCAGGGCCCGTCTCTGCTCGGCAGATGTAGTGCAGGAGGAGGGACCAGGCCCGGTAGTGCCCTGCTGCCCTCCAGGGCAGACCCGTCCTCCACTCTGCGCCTGGGAAGGGAGGGTTCCCACCAGAGAAGTAAGGGGAGAGGACACCCAAATCCTGAGACCCTAAGGCCCTCCGGACAAGGAGAAAGGTCCGTGCCGAAGGGAGAGGGTGACAGCAAGAGGACAGCAGACTCAGGGACTTGCCTCCCAGCAGCCCGGACACACAGGCCCCCGGCCTGGGGGAGATAGCGCCCCCGGAAAGCAGGGCTCGAGGCCTCCCAGTCTCCTACGAAGGGGACACCTCCCTGGCCTCCTCGGAAAGCCCTGCTGTGCCCGCGGAGGGGCCTCGCCTGCTTAGCTTCCGCTGAGGGGGACTTTGGAGGCCAAGTCCAAGTAAACGCAGCCATCCAGCCTCCCGGAGACTCGGTCACCTGCTCTCCTGGGACCTGGGGCTCACACAGGGAAAGGGAGGACGTGGCCTCCCAGTGTGGACAGACCGGGGAGGGAGGTGGCACTGGCGTGGGCATTCTTTGGTGTAGAAAAAGAAGCTCTTGGCCGGGGATTTAGCTCAGTGGTTCCGCCACCTGCCTCACAAGCACAAGGATGTGAGTTCAAGCCCCGGTACCCAAAAAAAAAAAGGGACAGAAAAAGAAGCTCTTTGTGAAGGGATCTTGGGCAGTACTCAAGAGGACCTGTGTGTCCGAGCTGTGCCTCCTCGAAGCACCTCTTGTTGTGTCCAGTGACAATAAAATCCCTGGCCCCAGCCCGGGCCCAGCCTGGGAATCCTGCTCCTGGGAAGAAGGACTCCCACATGAGGCCCGGCCTGGGCACTTCCAACACCTACGGGACCCCGGCTGGTCCAGGGCACGGGCCCTGGGAGGTCACTGTGGGAAGAGTCGGGGGGTGGGGGAGCTGCTGCTGAGCTGGCGTTAGAACCTGGGCCTGGGGAGTCCTGTGAGCACCTCGGCTGTCGGCGCCTCCTAAAAGTGACCCGCGTTGGGAACCGTGGTGACTGATCCTTGGGGTTTGGGCGTTCTCCTGGTGAGCAGGATTTGGTGACTGACCCCAGAAGGAGTCAGAGGACTCAGTGCCCCACTGCCGGGGTGTGTGGTCGAAGGTTGTGCTGCGGACTTGTCTCCGTGGGGTGCATCAGTCGTGCTTGGTGATGACTGGTTAAGGGTGCCTGTGAAGACTCCATCTCAGATGACTGAACCCCAGCTCCCAGTCAGCTGAGCAGCAGTAGAAGCTCCTTGGCTCATTGCAACGAAGTGGAGTAGTCTGGCTTTGGCACGGTGGAGCTAGAAGCCCCGAAGATGTCGCTCAGGACGGGCTGGCTCCGCCACGCTCTCAGCCCCGACCCCACACCCCTCCCATGACTCCAGCCTTAGGTGGGACTCGGGGTTCAGATCATCAAAGCACCCATGCTGGTCCCTGGAAAACCCTTGAGTGCCCTTGCTTGGGTCACAGACCTGTCCCTGGGCATCGCAGCATCCAGAGAAACAGCAGGCCCGGCACGAGAAGTTGGCTGGGTTTGTCCACCTCTGTGCTCAAGGCGGCTGGGCTGTGTGTACAAGCCCCGGGAGGCAGGGCGTTTTGTTCCACGTGTCCAGCCAGGGTTTTCGGAAAACCAGCCGGGATGGTGCTCCCTGGCAGACTGTTGGGGTTCCTGAGAATCCCCCAGAGGCTAAGGGAGGAGACATCCCAAGCAGGACCCTTGCAAAGTCCATTTCCCTCTGGCGCTTTGGGGACTCCATCAGGCATAGCCACTGAGCAACCAGGGAGGATGGCAGTGAGCTCCAGGCAACCCTCTCAGTGGCCCCATGTGTGACAGGGTCAGAGGACAGGATAAAGGTGGCCCACACAGCCTGCAGAGTATTTTCCTAGCCCAAGTATTCTGCCTAGTATTTTTCTGGCAGAGGAAGGGAAGGAAGGGTTTCATCCCAAGCCGAGTGCTGAGGAGCAGCTGGAGTGCCCCCTGCCACCATCCACTGCGCTGCCTTTCCTGGGCTGCCCCGGCTTCTGCCTTTGCTGGCTGTCTCCACAAAGGATGGCCAGAGGAACCCCCATGCACACCACACGGAGACGGCCCCAGCCCTCTTCGACCAGCTGCAGTACTCAGGGTCGTCTTAGTTCAAGAGAGAATGACAGGAAGACCCCCTCCGGCTGTGTCAGTGGGCAGTGGTCCTGCCAGCCTTCTGCCCAGGGGCCGACAGTGTAAGGCGTGGCCTCTTCCATTAATCCAAATGTCAAAACATCCAAGGTGCAGCCAGAAGTTGGGTGGCAGTTCCTCAGCGCCCAGGACCACCTCCCCCGGCCTGACCTTGGCCCCAAAGTGAGCTCTGATTCTGCTAGCCCTGAGGTATGCTTAGTGCCCATTCCGACCTTGTCAGTTCCTAGGCTTACGAGTGAGTGCAGGTGTGTGCTGCCCTGACAACCCCGGGGGTGGGGGAATGCCAGTGGGTGTCCAGAGAGTGCCCTAGGGGGCACTGTCCCCACGGATGGGGGCAGCACCTGCCTGTGCCCACAAGTCGCACAGGGACTTCAGCGCTTTCAGGCCTCCGTTCTTCCTTGACCAAGGAACCACTGCCTGCCAGTCACACCCCTCGCCCCCTTGCAGTGCTGGCTGAAAGCCCATGCAGGAGGGCGACGGTCCTTAGGGTGCAGCTTAAAGGAGAACAAATGTGCCCTGGAGGTGCAGCAGCTGCACAGCACAGAGCTGGGGTGCAGCCCTCCAGTTCCAAGCAAGGTTCCATAGTCTCTCTGCACAGGGTATGTGTCACCGTGGGCCTATTAGGGAAATAAACATGGCAGGAGGGGACACAGGCGTGAGCAGCCCAGGTGAGCAGTCTTGGGGCACACAGGGTGTGGAGCCAAAGCAGGAAAAACAGGAAGTTAGACCTGCAGTCGCTTCTGCCAATAATGGGTGTGTGTCCCCAGCTCTCCCCGACCCGTGGTTTGACTCGTGGACCCGGGGTGCCTCTCTCTGGCCCGTGTGGGCCAGGTCAGGAGACGTCCTCAGTCAGGGGGGTCATGGGCCAGGCTGGAGGAAGGGAGATGGGTCCAGGGAGCAGAGAGACAGACCTGGAGCTTTTCAGGAAGGGACTTTTACCCACTCTCTCTTACCATAGGCAGAGATGGATAATCTGTGGGCCATGCCAGGCAGCCAGAGAGGCCTTGGATAATGGGATTAGAGCCAGTGCCTCAGAGAAAATTAGACCGAACTCTACACAGGAGGAAAATGAGACATAGAAGGGCAAATTCCCAGTGCTCTGCAGGCCAGGCAGCTAGCATCCCACAGAGAGGTATGGCCGGTAGGGACAGGGCATTCAGGTCCAGCCCAACCGCTGTTAGCAATCCTAATCCTAACCCTAACCCTAACCCTAACCCTAGTTGAAGACCTAGGAGGCGACCTGGATTCTAAGGGAAAAGTCCTGAGGCTTCCCCAGCCGTGTGGTGCTGTTGGTTTTTTCTTTTTGCCAACTGGCCACTGGAAAGCCTCCTCCTAGGGGTGCTTGGGAGGACCTCCAATGCACCCCTCCTCAGACAGCCACTGGCGGGGGCCAGTGTCAGGGAGGAAGGGATGAGAAGGCCAGAGCCCGGGGAGAGGACCTGCCAGGTAGGGACTCAGCAGTGGGGTGGCGGGTCTTGGTGCCTGGGTGCTCAAGAACTTTGCTCAGTAAGTGCTTGTCTGAACGAACTGGCAAAGCAGTGAACACAGAGTCTTAATGGGCCTTCACCGTGTGGCCATGGCTGTCAGGGGTCAGCGAGGACGAAGTGTCCACTTCCTATGACTGAAGTGGCATCGCACTTCGCGGGCCACCAAGAGCAGCTGAGGGGCCTGAGCTGACCTGTGCCGGGGCGCCAGAGAGGGTCTGTAAGGCTGCTGCCTGGACGGCTTGCGAGCCGGACGGCCACACCAGGGGCGCTTACGGGTTGAGAGGTCCTACATGCTCTGCGCACGCCTGGCCTTCCACACATAGGAAGCACCGCTAGTTCTGCTTTCATTGGGCGTGTATGAGAATGAAGGGCCTGTGAGGTCCCGTCTTGGGGAACGGGTTGGGCTTTTCTGCCTGAGACAGGACAGGGCCGTGAGCCAGCATTTGCCAGGTGCCCACGCCGTCTGGCTCGGTCCCCGCCCTCGGCCGCTCCTGGTCCTCCACCACCCTGCGGCCACTTATGGCCTGCCTTCTTTTGTCCCTCTGCAGGCTGGTGGTTCGTGAGCACCTCTGAGGAGCAAGGCTGGGTTCCTGCCACCTACCTGGAGGCCCAGAATGGCACTCGGGATGACTCAGACATCCACACCTCCAGGACTGGGGAAGGTAAGGGCTGTTGCCAGGGGTGAGGGTGAGGTGGTGGAGCTGGTTGGGCTCAGCCCCTTCCGGGGGTTAGACAGTGCTACCACTCTCCCCCCGAAACCACCTGAACCTGCAAAGTGAGCTAGCTGGGCCCCCAACCCCTTCTGAGGCTGACCCACAAGGCCTGTTCTGCTGGCTCCAGCAGGAGCTGATACCAGGGGAAATTCTCGAGGTGTGGGCCTCAGGCTTTGGTGACTTGGGGCAGAGGGTGGGGGAGTCTTGGGACAGGCTCCTGGGCTCTCATCAAGGGCCTCACAGTGACTGTCTTTGCTCCCAGCACCCACCGGGCCTCCCACAGTAAGGACGACCCCCAGAGGCTGTGTGCACGCTACTCCGCTGTCTGTCCTGCTCCGAAGCCTGTGACCTGGGGACCCTCAGCCAGGTCTCAGGGATGAGAGCAGCCCAGGCCCACGCTGGCCTTGGCAGCCTGTCTGTGGACTCCGTGCCCAGCTGCATGCTCCTTAGGCCCTGCAAACCTCCTGGGGACTCCTCCCCTAGCAGCCAGTGGGGATGGTCTGGGGGCTTGTCTGAGAGGCCACTGGATGGAGGCCCACCACCAGGGCTCAGGCCACCTCCAGGCTGCTCCTACACCCCTCTCCTGCTGCCCAGGCCAAAATGAGCAGCTCACCAAGCTAGCTCCTCAGTGGTCCTGAGTGCGGGCTCTTGGCTGCGGCTGGGGCTGGGGCTGGGGCTGGGGCTGGGGCTGGGGCTGGGGCTGGGGCTGGGGCTGGGGCCCCACCCTTCCCCCTGGGCCAGCGCTTTATTTCATTCAGGCCCTGATCCAAGCTGGGCCTCTGCCGTGCACATCCCCTGTGACAGGCAGGTCTGGGGCCTGGCCTGCAACCCAGCCCTCTGCTCCCACCACACCCCTGCCGAGTTGGAGGCCCGTGGCCTGGAGCTGCCCTGCCCTAGTAGCCCTGCAACCCCGAGGTCTCACCTGCCTAGGTCCACGTTCAGAGCCCAGGTGCTAGGCCAGGGCTTTCCATGCCCTCTCCACCACCCTGGGAGGACACTGTTTTTGTCCCTGCATTTCCAGCTACAGGGCTGAGGCTTCAAAACAGGTAGTGCCTATCCTCACCAGCCCTGGGCCCCGGGGCCTCCCCACCTGCCGAGGCATCTGCTTGTCAGCAGGAAAGGTCACTTGGGGACCCACTCAAGGAGAATGTGTGGCTGCAGAGGCCACAGAGGAAGGACAGGGCAGGGGGCCAGTGGATCGTGGAGGCCGTGGTGGAGGCTGGGTGGTGGTAGGGTGTGGAGGACCTTGACCTCGATGGAGTATGAGTCAGGCAGAGCCAGTGTGGAGCTCAGTGTGCAGAGGTTGTGTACACGCGTGCATGCGGCCCTGGTGCCCCCCTCTGCTGCGTCTGAGGCCACACGTGGCCAGTGTGGATTCCAGCACCCCCAGGCCTCTCCTGGAGACCGCAGAGGGCTCCGGCTGGTTGCCCAGACCCACGGCTCTGGCCACTGCTCTGGCCACCACTCGCCACCTGTAGCCGCGTGGTCGGTGTGATTGGGAAGGCTCCTCGGCACCCTGGGCCTCTGTTTCCCCATTCGTAAGAGGGGCCAGAGCCAGCCACACAGGCCTTCCAGGAAGCTCAGGCGAGGTCGTCGCTGAATGGCTCACACTGAAGCAGGCATGCAGGGAGTGAGGCTGGGCACCGGGTGGTGGCCCCTGGGGCCAGCATCGTGCAGCTGTCTCCACACAAAGCCACGGTAGCCCTGACACCCAGCCCCACTGGGACACCTTGCATAGGACCCAGTTAGCGTCCCCAGGTCCTGCCAGCCCTTGTCTGGGCCCCACGAGGGCAGGAAGTGTTACCCACGACAGATGGGGTCGCAGGCCTTGCAGCGTCAGTTCACTGGCAGTGGGCTGGCCTGGACTCGCACCTCCTGCCCTGCTGTCTGGGCTGCCTGTGCAGAAGGGGCAGGTCACACAGCCACTGTCCTCTCAGGTGGAGCAGACACTTCCCAGATGGCTGGGTGGGGTTAGTCCAAGTGGGTCTGGGCAGTTTCACATTCATTCTACCACCAGCCTCTCCTAGAGGCCCCGGCAGCTGGGCAGCCTCCCCCTGCAGTGCCCAGAGGTGGCGTCGGCTGCCACCTCAGAGTTCAGTGTCCTTTCCCCCAAAGTCCTGTGGGATGGCAGGCATCTCGAGCTGGGGGCTAGGCACCGGGTACTTGGGGCCTGGCAAGCAGAGGACCTGGGCAGGGTCCGCCCAGGGACACGGTCAAAGCAAGGGGTCTTGGGCAGTGGGCAGCTGGCAGGCGCGGCCTCTGTTGTCTGGGACCCAAAGCAGGGGCGGGAAGGAGCACCGTGGGGCTGAGGCATCCGTCTGTGTTTCATTCAGCAGCCCTGTCTGTGGCCAGTGCCAGGCAAAGTCTCGGCCGTCCACAGATCGCAGGTCCCAGTGGGGACGGGGGAGGAAGCAAAGCTGTGGGCGGGCAGCTGCAAGGAAGCGGCCTGGGCTCTCCTGAGGTGCCTGGCCCTGGCCCGTGGCGGCAAAGTCACACTCAGTGAGTGAGTGAGGGAGTGGGGAGTGGGGCCTCAGGCGGCATCCCGGCGGCCTCCCCGGCCCTGCAGCCGCAGCCAGGCAGCCTTCTGTGGGGCTGGCATGAGGAGCACCTGTGGTCTCAGGTGCTGAAACCCTGAACCCTTCAGCCCACCCGTGCATGTGGGGCCTCAGGCTGAGGCTCGGGTTTCCCCACACGCCAGCCATCGGTGCCCATCCAGCCGCTGGGCCCCCGGCGCCCTGGGAGCGTGGCCGGCCCCTCCCCGCCTCCACCCTTCCTCCACCCCACATCTCATCCTCCTCTCCCTTCTCTCCGCTTCATGTCGGCCGCGTGCTCATCACCACCTCCCACACCAGTGTCCAAGAGACGCAAGGCCTATCAGCGGCGCCTGGATCGCCGGTGGACCCTGGGCGGAATGGTCAACAGGCAGCACAGCCGAGGTGACCGTGGCGCCTGCTGCTCCCCTGCCACTGCCGCCCACCTCCCACTAACACTCGCTGCTCTCCCCACGCGCTGCCTGGGCCTCCCAAGTCACCCAGATGCGCCGCCAGGCCTTCCTGATCCCACTGGGAGTGGGGAGGGGCCTTGCTTGGGAATCGGGGTGGCGCCAGGCGGCTCTAGCTTGCTCATGGTCTGGGGGTGGGGGCCACAGGCCCTAGGACCGCAGAAAGGAAGACGGCCTGGAGGTCAGGGAAGAGGGAGATCGGGGTCTCTAAGGTAGGCCACCTTTGCCCTGGACGCTGCAGACCAAAGGGACCTAGGCCCTGTCCCTGTGAGGCTCCCACTCTGTCCTGCCAGCTGCTCGGGAACCGAGTAGAAAGAAGGAGCCGCCCTGTCCTCCTTCAGCCAGCTGCACTCAAACTAGGAAGGGCAGTCCCGGCCAGACCTAACCTGGAAGCCAGACCCAGCCCGGCCCCGGAACACAGCCCCCACCAGCGCTGATAAGGGCAGTGGCCTTTGGGACTGGAGGAAGGGCTGAATGGAGGATTCCAGGGAGGCCATGGCCGCAGGCTGATGCTGGAGCAGAGACCTTGGCTGGCCCAGAGCCTTCCCGACACCCAGGAACTTGGCGGGTGAGGAGAGAAGGCTCCTGAACGCACTCAGAAACATCCACAGCACCCTGGCCCTGGGCGAGGGCGGCCAGTTTCTCCTGTCCTGTGCTCCCTGGGGTGAGGACACAGTTGGAGGCAGCTTGTCATCCCCGAGAGGGGTGTTAGTGAGCCCTGGCCTCTGGAACCCAGAGGCCACCCCCAGCCCACCCTCAGCTGGTTTCCATGCATTTCGGTGCCTGAGGCAGCAGGAAGCCTGGACTCGTGGGTGGCCCCAGGCTCAGCGCTGGCCAGGAGGAACCCAGCTTGTCCTGCAGGGCAGAGGGCCAAGCTCTAGAAAGGGCAGCAGGCCCAATGTAAAGCAAAGGCCGCCCAGCTGGAAGGCCGGGCCGGGCTGGGGCGCAGCCATGGGCGAGGCTTGGTGGCCGAGGAGAGCAGAGTGGGCCGAGTCACACAGCAGGGATGAAGGTGTGTCCCCCGAGGTGCTGAGCGCACACATGATCCTGCCTCCTCAAGCACAGACGCAGCCAGTGATGTCCACACCCCGCATGGCCAGTGTGACTGCAGTGTCCCGTCCTATGCACACTGACCCACAGGTAGCCGTGCCCCGGGTGCAATGTCCACAGTCACAGGTTATGCACCTCTGCGGCCACACCCACAAGTACACACATACACCATCCCTGGTGCTGCACACATATAGGCAGTGTTTCCAGACACAGACCCCTGCACACACAGCTCGGCAGCGTCCGCCCTGAACACGCCCAAGCCCACAGCTCTGCCTCTCTCTGTTAAAATAAGAGCCCTGGACAGCGGTTTCCCGGCCTTGGCCCGAGGGGTGGGGTGAAGTCAGGCAGCCGATGGCACGCAGAGAGCTGGCAGAGGCACTGCAGACCTGCAGGAGGGGCAGGGGTCACCAGTGGCTTCCGGGGCCTCCGCTCCAGTCCTGCAGCCACCGGCCTCTGCAGTCAAAGGTCTCCCCCTGTCTGTCTCTGACTCAGGAGGCTGAGCTGTGGGCCGGGAGGGAGTGGAGAGACTGCTGACAGAGGGGAAAGCGTTTGGAAAGAGGAGGTGCTGTGGTTTGGAACCAGCCCAGGCTGTTTGCCCCACACCCCGCCCCCAGCCGCCTGGCTGGCCCTCAGCAGGCAGGCAGGGGTGCTCAGGCCCAGCGCTTCCCAGAAGCCCCGACAGGCCTGAGTTCACAGCTTGCTTCTCGACCTGGTTCCCCGAGACCCTGGCCACCTGGGTGACTCACCCCGGGCATTCTCTCGCCTGGACCCCCGAGCCCCTTGTCCTGTGGTCCCGGGGAGGGTGTCTCTGCTTGTCCCCCGGCTCACCTTGAGCTGAGAGGCCTGAGACCCACGTGGCCTGCCCACAGCCCAACCATCAGAGCTAACCAGAGCAGGAAACCGAGTGGCCAAGAGAATGGAAAGATATGGCCTGACCGCCCTGCCCTGCCAGGGCCCAGGACCCTGAATGCTGCTTCCCTGAGTCCCGCACAGTGAGTGGAGCAGGACAGGCCTCCGTGCCAGCCAGTGCCCTTACCAGCACCCCGGAAACTTGCGGAATGTGCTGGCCACAGCCCCAGGTCTGCCAGGGCCCTGGCTCTGTGCCCCCGGAGGTCAGAGCTCGCTGCAGTCCTGTGGCTGGTGGCCTCAGCCCCTCGCGTGCCCCCGAGAGCCCCTGTGGCCACGCCTGGCGGTGCCCACACAGCATGGCCCAGGCGCTGCTCCGGGTCGTGGTGCAGGGCCCTCTGATCATCCCCCGGGAGGGCTGTCATTTTCCTCCACAAAAGCGATCTTGCCTAGGAACACTGTAATGATGGCTTCCTACTTGAACCACAGGCTTTTAAAAATAGTCCCGCTGAACAAAGGCAAAATGTGGACCACAGGCCCTGGCTTCCCCGGCCTGGCACTGCCCCTCTGGGTGCCACGTGGGCCAGGCTTCGCCGAGCTCCACTAGAAAACGGAGCAGGACCAGGAGCAGGCAGGAGAGCAGAGGGCTGGCCTGGAGGAGTGTAGGACCCCCCAAGACCAGGTCAGAATCTGACTGGGCAGGCTTCTCTGCAGCTTGGCAGCTGTCCTGGGCAGGACTACGGTAGAATCCGAAGGCCCCAGGAGGAGCCCCCAGTCGGTGCCAAGAAGGCCTGTGGTGGGAGAGTGTGCTGAGGAGTGGGCCCCACGGTCCTCGCCTACCTTTTGCTTTGCCTCCATTGTAGATGGGGCCTATGGCCCATCACTTCCGTCCCGAGGCCTGGCAGGACAGCCGCCTCCACCCAAAGTGAGCTGCTAAACCTCCGCCCAGCCCAGGGCGGAAGACCGTGCCTTAGTGATCCAGGGAGAATGGACAGGTGGACCCGACGGCCACAGGCAGCTCCTGTGGGCTGCAGACAGGGCCCTGCCAAGGAGTGTGGGGTGCCTGTCACACTGGGAGCCGGGGCCGCCTCTGCTGTTTTGAGCTATCAAAGTGCTTTCCACTTTGCCCCTCAGCCCTACCTAGCCCTGCCTTCCTCTCCCCGATGCCATCAACAGCCTTTCTTCTCTCGCCGCCACTGTCTCTGCCTCCTAGGAGCACCCTCCCGAGGGCATTCCCAGGTTGCACCTCCTTCCTATCTCTTCTTTTTCTCCCAGAGGGATGGATGGGGACTGTGCTCCCCCAGGCCCTGAGCTGCCCTCTGGGCAGAGTCACCCAAGAGGCAGGGTCTCCTTGGCTGGCCGGAAGTGGGTCCACCTGCTGCGCTTCCCTAGGACAGGAGGAGGTCCCAGTAGACATGGCAGCCTGAGCAGAGGACCCAGGAGGAGCTGTAGGAAGCCAAGGAGATGCCCAGTACCCCAGCTTCCCACGCCTGCCCCCCATGCTCTTCTGAGGTGCCTCGGGAAAACCTCCAACAGGACCCTGAAGTCACAATGTAGTAAAAGTCTGTTTCAAAAAAAGGTCGGGGTACAGCTCAGGTGGAGAGCATTTACCTAGCATGCAGGAGGCCCTGGGTTCATTCCCCAGTATTTCAAAAACACCAAAAAGACACAGCACGAGAGTAGCACAGCCAGCACCACACGGGGCCCAGCGCCAGCTGGCAGCCATCCGAGCACCTGCAGCTCTAGAGCCGTGGGGCACACGTGGCCCTGCAGGCTCTGAGGGCCACCTGCCTGGGCCTGGGGCAGCCCCACACGACGGCCATGGGAACTCGACCTTCAGCATGCCTGCTGAGCTGGTGTTTCTGTGGACCCCCTTGGGGAAATGATGTGCTGTTATCAGGGGCAGGAGGCACCCCTGGAGCCATGGAGAAGCCAGACCAAGGAGGAATTTGAGGGGCTGAGGTAGGAGCGGAGCTGGGCAAGTACATGAAGGACGGGGCCCAGCACATTCAGCAGAGTGCGGGGCAGCCCCGAGGCTTTCGGGGGTGCCTGGCACCGGCCTCAGACTTCTGGCTCAGACTAACCCCACCTGGACGCCAGGCGCTGGCAGCCTGGCGGGGAGAGCTGACCTCATGCTGCCCAGAGTTTTGGCGTGGGGGGGCAGCAATGACCTCCGACCCCATGACCTCTCTGCCACCCTGAGACCTGGTCCTTTCCTGCCGTGGAGAAGCAGACCGACCTAGGGCTCCTTGGCACGCTGACCGAGGACAGGAAGCGGGCCCACACCCAGCCTCAAGTAATCTTGCTTTCTTGCCCCGGCCACCAGAGGAGAAGTACGTCACCGTGCAGCCCTACACCAGCCAAAGCAAGGACGAGGTCGGCTTTGAGAAGGGCGTCACCGTGGAGGTGGTCCGGAAGAACCTGGAGGGCTGGTGGTACATCAGGTGAGGGCCCCCGCAGCCGCCTCTGGTCCAAGGAGTTGCTGACAGCCGCTTGCCCATCGCTGCGCGGCTGAGAAGCTCCACCAGGGGGCGCTCACCTCACATCCACTTTCCGGGGACTGGGAAAACCGAGCCTGAGCTCAGCCCCCTCAGCGGTGCTGCAGTCCCTTCCTGGCATCTGCCAAAGTTCCGAACATCTAAATTGGGTTTCTTGCCTCCAGCCTCGGCTGCCTGGCCCGCTCCACAGTCAGGGCCTGAAGCGTTGGCGTCTGCAGACCTTGCTGAGGTCTTGGCACGGCCCAGCACTCAGTGTCCTGGATGGGGGCTCTAGAGCCCACATCCCTGGGGGATGTGGGCTGTTCCCCTGCTGAGCTGATGGTGAGGCCTGAGCCCAAGGCCAGCTCGGCACCAGAGGTCCCTCTCGCAGGGTCTGGTCGCACTTTTAGGGGGCCTTCCTGGCACCTTGGAGGTAACTGCACTTCACACCCCGTCGCTGGACTGAGACTCGCTCCCCAGCACACCTGCTTCCAGGAGTTGCTTTTGCTTCCCCTGGGATGCTCCACTGTGAGGACTCCCCTGGCCTGTCCTCGACTGCACCCCAGCTGAGGGAGACAGGCCTCCGTGGGTGGGCTCTGGGGACCCTGCCACAGCCCACACAACAGGCAGCACCACGCCCACTGTGGGCAGCACGTGTGTTCTGAGTGGTCTCGCCGGAGGGCTAGGCTTGTGCTGTGGCACCTCCGTGACCAGAGTGACCCAGTATTGTGGGACAGTTTCTGAGCATGGCAGAGCGTGATGGTGCTGAAAGTCAGTCGGTGCTGAGGGCCAGGATGAGGGCCCTTGGCCAGGCGGAGGCTGGGCCCTGCTGCGACCTTGTAAGACACAGCTCCACGTTATCCCACCTGGTGCTCTCGCTCAGAGCTGAGATGTCCCTTTCTGTCCTGTCAGATGGGCTGTGTACCTGGGTGTGTGTTGCCCGGAGCCACTGCCCCTGGACTTCCATGTTCTCTAAGCAGTGGAAACTGGGCCAAACCAAAAGTGTAGCAGCCACAGCCGAGAGACAGGCCGGCAAGCGTCCCGGCAGGCTGCGGCCTCATTCATTCGCCTGGCGGTCATCCATAGGGCCAATTGCTATTCTGTTTTGTTTCGGTTTTTAGTTTTGTAAAATGACCAGCAAAAGCAGCCTGAGCGGCTCCAAGTCAGTTCTTGTCTCGAGGCTGCTCCTCTGGCCAGCAGGAGCTTGAGCAGAGGAAGCCCTGCTGACACAAGTCCACCCCGAGAAGCTGCCAGACACCCCTTAGCCATGCCACTTCGCAGCGTTCTGGGCTCTTCCTTGGTCTTCACTTCCTGTCTTCCTCCCCACCCCCCGCCCCTGGACACATGCAGGCACGCACATGCACACGCACGCACACAGGGGGCCTCCCTCTCCAGCCTGCTTCCCTCTGGAGTCTGGGCCGTGCTACAGGAGTCAAACCCAGGCACACAGCCACTCCTGGTGCCCGTGCTTCTCTGCCTGCAGCCAAGCTTTGTCCCTGTAACATGAAGGAACACCGAGGGCTGTAATAAGAGCACTCAAGGCTATAGGTGGGCCTCACCGTCACCCCCGCAGGCCCTGTCCCAGAGTCACACGTGTTCACGCAAACAGACACTGGTGAGGGCCAGAGCAGGTGTCTTCATCTTTTTCCAAGATTGAAGGACACTGGACTCTGGGCCAGGCTCTGCCACACCAGCTGTGGCCTCTGCTACTTGCTTTGCTTTTCCAAGCCGTGGGTGTCAGATTAGAGGAAGGTTAGACACCAGTTACTCCTGCTGCTATTCCTCCTCCTCCTCCTCTTCCACCTCTTCTCCTCTCCTCCTCCTCGTCCTCTTCCTCTTCCTCCTCTTTTTTTTTTGTACCGGGGATTGAACTCGGGTCCTTGCGCTTGGAAGGCAGGCGGTGGAACCACTGAGCTAAATCCCCGGGCCATCTCTTCTTCCTTTTCTTCTTCTTCTTCTTCTTCTTCTCCTCCTCCTCCTCCTCCTCCTCCTCCTCCTCCTCCTCCTCCTCCTCCTCCTCCTCCTCCTTCTCCTCCTCCTTCTCCTTCTTTTCCCCCTTGAAATCTCATGATCCTCCTGCCTCAGCCTCCCAAGTGCTGGGATTACAGGTGTGCACCACCATGCCCAGTTTTGGACACTAATCGTTGCTTCTATCCACCCCCGAAACCCTGTGCCTCTGTGTACCTGGTGCATTTGGGAGCGTTCACAAGCCCAGCTTCCATCCCTGTGTTCACTGTTTGCCTTCTGTCCCCAGGCAGTGAGCCTGGGCCGGACCACGTGTGCCTGTGGCACAGCTGTCAGGAGTCGCTTACCCGAGCTCCTGGCAAGCTCAGACATGGTGATGGGAATGTCAGCTTGCTTTCTGTTCTTGTACCTAACAAGCTCCCAAAGAGCTAGGCCACTTGGGGGAGGGGGGAGGTGTCAGGCATCTGGCCTGGAAGAGTCTTTCCAGAGACACGATGTGGCCCGGAGTGCAGATGGGGACATTGCAAGCCAGACGTGGGGGCACTGGCCAGCGATTGCTAGATAGGAAGTGAGCTCCCGGTGGGTTTGGGTAAAGCCCAATGTCATGGGGGCATAAAAGGGGGAGACACTTGTCTTAAGGAGTCATCAAATCCCCAAAATTAAACCATCCCTATCATTTGCCTTTTGCTTTTGTTAATGAGCTGTTGGTTTTGTTTCATTTTGTTTTGTTTTTGTTTTGCCGCATCCGTGGTTTTCATTTCACCCTGTCATGTGCTTTGATCTTGCCATTTGTGGTTTCTGCTTTTAAGTCCCACTTAGAGTAGCTTTCTCAACCCCCAAGATTAGATAAACATTCACGACTCATTTTTTGAGAATTTTACTCTGGGGCCAGGGATGTAGCTCAGTGGTTCTGCTGCCTGCCTCGCAAGCACAAGGTCCTGAGTTCGATCCCCGGTACCAAAAAAATTTTACTCTGGTGCAAGGCCAGGTCTCCCTTACTTGTTTTTCCTAACCAGATCATCAGCTGTCCTCAGATCACAAGTTGAAGTCGGTCCTTGACCTACCAGCTTGAAATGTTACCGTTAGCCTCGTCGAGGACTTACCCTGCCAGTGCAGTCCATCTCTCTCCCTGCAGCAGCACCAGCACCCTCGCCCGTGCATCAGCCTTTTTTATACACATCTTCCGAGTTGCTCTCCATGTGTCTCCCTCTGGACACATCTTAGCAGCTCCTCTACCTCTGATCTTGCCGAAAAGAAACAAATTGAGCTCCAGGGAAGAAACCTGTCTCAGCCCCATACCCTAGGACTTTGACCTGTGACACCTCTTTCCTCTCTGGCACTTCTCTTTCCTGTAGGGCAGTGGTGGCAGGCGTATAACATGCGTGGCACAGCCGATTGCTCGTTAGCATTGAGAACCCTAAAAGCTTTGCATCGCTGCCGCAGGCTGTGGGACCCTGAGCACCACCTTCACACCGTCTCATTTCTTCTCTCTAGAATTCCCCTCGGTTGGTTGCCAGGTCTCCCCAAAGCGTGACAGAAAAGGCTGGCTGGGCAGGGCCAGATGGAGCCCGGAGCCTGGGAGGAGAGAGTGAAGCCAAGCACCAGACCTCTAACGTTGGTGTGACCCCCTCCCCACAGGTACCTGGGCAAAGAGGGCTGGGCGCCCGCATCCTACCTGAAGAAGGCCAAGGACGACCTGCCAACCCGGAAGAAGAACCTCGCGGGCCCCGTGGAGATCATCGGGAACATCATGGAGATAAGCAACCTGTTGAACAAGAAGGACAAGGAGACTCTGCCCACTGAAGGCGAGGGCTCCGAGGCGCCCGCAAAGAAGGAGATCAGCCTGCCCATCCTCTGCAACGCCTCCAACGGCAGCGCCTCAGGTGTCCCAGAGAGGAGCATCTCCAGACTGGCCCAGGGCTCCCCGGCTGTGGCCAGGATTGCCCCACAGAGGGCCCAGATCAGTAAGCCTTTGCCAGCCTCTGGCTGCTCTTACAGGGGGGGCCTGGCTGTATGGGAAGCCAGGGAGTGTGGGACCCCACCACGTTTCCTTCTGGAAGGACATCTGGGTCTAGCCTCCCTTTCCCTCTCCCTGTCCACCAGTTTTCAGAGCCTGAGAGACTAGGAATTGGAGGCAGTTTCACAGCACCTTCCCCAAGGACTGCAGACCTGGGGTCTCTGGCACCTTCAACCTCTGGCCCCTTTGCTTGAGACCAAATCGTCCGTATTGAATTCCCGCTTTGGGTTGTGTCCTGCCATTCTTGCATTCTGGAAGAAAGTTCTTTTTTCAGCCTAGCCTTGAACTTGGTTAAGTTGGCTATCCTGCCTGAAACCTTTCAGGCTGCCAATTGGGAGATCTTCAACAGGCACCCTCTTGCTGGGGACTTAGGAGTGAGCAGGAAATAGACATACTCTCTGCTCCTACCTTTGACAGTCGGATTGAACAGTGCCCACAATGTCTGTACTTCACTGTGCACGTAACACGGGCTCCATGGATCCCCCGAAACACAGCCCGGGAAGCCATTAAGGTCTGTGCTTTCCCTGCCCACGGTGACTTGGGCATCGGGTCCACCTCTATGTGGTGGGTGCCCCTAGGGAAGGCAGGTGCAGGTCCCGTTGCTCATTGTAGGACTGGGATTTATGAACCTTGTCTCTTTTAGGCTCCCCGAACCTAAGGACAAGACCTCCACCTCGAAGAGAGTCGAGCCTGGTATGTGTAGTGAGTTCCTCTCCTTTCTTCCTGTGATGCCCTGCAGCAGCCCCAATCTGCTGTCTTGCCGCAGAGCAGTCAGCCCAGAGGCTTCTAGCTTTGTGGGGCTGGGGGCAGAAAGGGAAACTGCCAGAGCTGACCTTTCTGGGGGCCTCGGTGAACAGTTATAATCAGAAATGCACTGCTAGCCAAAGCAGAACGGCTCCCTCTCAGCCAGTGCACTGGCAGGCATAAACATTTGGACTGGCATTGCTAGCAGCCGGACACAGGGCCGCTGTCCGTGTGGCCTGGGAACCTTTCAGCATTGCCTTACTCAGGAATGCCTGATGATGGGGGAGAGGGTGAATCGGAAGGACTGGCCCACACCAAAGCCTAAAGAGAGCTAATGCTCTCGAGACCCCTGAGTCTGGTGGGCGGCATTTCCCGGTGACCAGGGTGTCAGGCAGGCGTGCAGTCAAAATCTGGGGCTCACAGGGGCAGCACGTGGGTGAAAGCTGAGTCCTGGGACCAAGGACTGACATCAGAGGCAGCAAGACCCAGGGGTGGGGTCAGAGCTCTGGGCCTGCGAGGCATGGATTCACATTGCACTTCTACTCCTAGGAGCAGAGAGACCTTGAAAGTCACTTACCCCACACGGGCCTCAGCTTCCTATCTGTAAGACAGAGACAGTGGTAGTTACCTCTGGGGCTGCCATAGAAATGAGATGCAGTAATACATGCACAGGACCGGCAGGCAGGTTTCCATTCGCTGGGGGACTCAACTGCTGGGCAGCACTGCGCGCTACACTGAACTCCCACCTGGGCTTAGCGGCAGGTCACGGGGGTCGGTGATACCTGGGCTGGGGAAGGTAGTGTCAGACCATGGCAGAGGTGGCGGTCGGCACACATAGGGCTTTGGAAGATCTGGCCCCTGGTTGAGATTCCAAACCTTCCTTGCCCTGGCCATCAGTCCCAGTGGAGTTTCTCTCTTTTCCACTTGCATTATACAGCTAAACAATGAATTCTCTTTCCCTCCCATCTCTCTTAGCCCCAGCTGATTATTTTCAGGCAGACTCAATTTGGGCAAAAAAAGGCTCCTCCTTCCACACTGACCTGGGTGCTGAGGCAGGCTGCTGTTTCCATGGTTGCCCTGTGAATCCCAGGCATGGCTGCAGAGCCAAGCCCCAGAGCAGGGACAGTTGGCTAGTTCCCACCCGGTGCTTCCAAACTGGCTTCCTCCAGCCCTCACTCACTCTGACCCAGGGCGGCTCAGCTCTGACTGCAGGCTTAGGATGTGCTGAGCCTTGAAGGCTGGGAAGAAGAGGAGGGTTTGGGGGAAGGTGACCTCAGCCTTCTGCTTGTTGGCCTCTTCTTAATGGCCCTGATACTGGTTTCGTTTCACAGATGAGGGAACTGAGGCCCAGAGAGGTCAGGGCCTGGGGCTACACAGCTGGTGAAAGGCTGGGACTGGAACCCAGTAGGGTCTTCTGGGTCTTCCTGCCTCTTCCTCCCTATTTTCTCTTTTCAGTTGCCTTTGTTTCCACCCCTTTTGCATGACACATATAAAGAGGGAGGCAGCGAGCCCATTTTGGCCAGCGTGGAGGCCTGCTGAAGCCACGACCCACCAGGACTAGTTGTTCGTTTGGTTCACGGTGGGGTGCCCAGGGCCTCGGTCCAGCATTTGGCACGTAGTGCATGCACCGCAAACAGTGATGAACCAAATGAATAAGGCTCACAGATCAGGGGCTGAGACCAAACCCTGACCGTCTTTGAGTGCCATGCTTGGAATTTGCCTACATCCGAAAGGCACGGCATGGTGGTATGAGTCTGTCACCCCGCTATTTAGGAGGCTTAGGTGAGAGGGCTGCAAGTTCGAGCCCAGCCTGGGCAACTTAGAGAGACTCTGTCGCAGAACAAGAACCCGAAAGTGCTGGCGACATAGCTCAGCTGCAGAGCACCCTGGGTCCAGTGCCCAGCACCACAAAAAATAAAAGGCATCTAGGACCTTAGTGTGTACTGCCTGCCCACGGAGACGAGGTCTCCAGAATTCCGTTCAGGGCTTGCCCATCCATTTGGCACAGCCAAAAGCCTTCTCACCCGACCTCGCTGCCCCTCATGCTCCTGCCTCACCCCAAGCGATGGGGACCCGCTGGCCCTACCTCTCCCCCACACGACCCCCCTGCAAGATGGCCACTCTGTTAACCCACAAGTGCCCAGGCTCTGTTAGAACTTCTCTGCTTTTTAGTGTTCATTTGGGGGGCCAGGTACCGATCCTCGTGAGATAGGATGGAAGTGCACCTGTTAACACTGAGCATTCCCATCACTCAGGCCAGCGCTCCCCAGGGCAGCCTCTTGGGGTGCACCCTGGGACTGGGGCATAGAGGCCTGCTGGGCCAGCTGCCACCTAGCTGGTGTAGGCAGCCACACGCACGCTGTGGGCTGCAGCCCTTGGCTTTGTCGCTGACCTCGCTCTCTCTCTGCCTTAGGGCTTCCAGCTGCCCAAGCCGCCAGAGCCCCCTTCTGTTGAGGTGGAGTACTACACCATCGCCGAGTTCCAGTCCTGTATCTCTGATGGGATCAGCTTCCGGGGTGGACAGAAGGCAGAGGTAAGCCTCGGGCTGAGGGCTGTTTGCCTCACGGTGGCCACGGGTGTGGCGCTCCCTGTTGAGATCTTGACAGCAAGGTTAGGGGTGGAGGGCGGACGAGATGGCACCAAAGCCAGCTGCACAGCCACGAACCGTTGCTGGACGCTAGCAAGTGCCACGGGCAATAAGAACACTGCAGGAGCCAGGAATGGGGCGCCCAGGAGCAAAGAGCTGCCGTGGGGCACAGTGGGTTGCTGCTCCCTCTCTGGGGATTAATCTCAAGGACTTCACACTGAGCTCTATCCCCACGTTTTGGTTTTGGTTTTGTTTGAGGCAGGGTCTTGCTAAGTCTCTAAGTGGCCCAAGCTGGGCTCTAGCTTGTGACCCTCCTGCCCCAGCCTCCCAGAGTGCTGGGGTTACAGCCTGTGCTGCCGCACCAGGGTTTCATTGCTTTGACTGCAGAGCTTCTCAGAGCCTAGAATAGGAGCAGCACCACGTCCCCAGGGTACAGATGCAGCAGCCTTGCCCAGGCCTGTGTGACCCCGCCAACCTCTTCTCCCGGGAGCTCTTAGGGCCAGGGCCCAGCAGAATCCACACGAGCAAGTGCTGTTGTTGGGAGAAGACCAGGCAGGTGGATTAACACACTGGGACCAGCTCTGGCCACGTCCTCAGCACGGGACCCCTGGCTGTGTCATCCCATCTCCCTCATGGGCTCCGAAGTGGGTGAGAGCCTGGGCGCCTCCCCCCGGTCTGGTCTAGCACCGATGCCGCTCTGCCCTCCTCAGCCACAGGGCACTGAAACAAGGCAGCACCAGGTCTTATACTCGCACACTTACGACAGAGCCCGACCTGGAAATTAAGCAGGGAAGCGATTAGGGAAAATAACTAAAAATATCGTTAAGGTTGTAACAGTGTACCATGATAAGAACTGCTTGTTTCTGGAATTTTTCGATTAGGGTTTTTGTTCTGCAGCTGACCATGGTTAGCTGAAGCCATAGAAGGCAAGCCTTGGATAAGGATGCACTGCCATATTTTTTTTGCTTAAATTCTCTTATTGGTACATTTTAGGTATACAGTACATTCACATTCATCATTGGCTGTTTGTACTGCACATGATGGATCTTGGTTCTTATTTTCTCCCCATTCCCTGCCCTCCCTTCCCTATTTACAAAGATTATGTTTCCATTTTTTCCTTTTCTCATATTTTTTTTCCCTTCTTTGCTTTCCCCTTCCCCTTCCACTTTCCCTACTCCTTTGGACCTTTTCTTCCTATTTCACATTATCAGTTATTCGTTTTAATCATTTTAATCCTTATTTACACTTTCGGTTTCTCACACCAGAGAAACTATTCAGTATTTACACAGGTGTGTCCTGTTTATTTCACTTAAGAGGATGGCCTCAGTGAGGATGCACTGCCGTATTTTGTGGCCTGTATGGAGCATATTCTAGGGGACAGAGGAGATCTGTGACTCGGTCATTTTTCTTTAGTGGCTTTGTGTAGTCAGAGTTAAATCCGAGTAATACTCATGACACTGTCAGGTTCACTGCAGCCTCTGCCCACTGAACAGAGGACATCTCCGACCTGGACATTTTCGATCACATGCCTGGAACTTGGGAGCTCAAATTCCAGGAGAAGTCATTTTCTCCAGGAGGTTAGGTTTCCGGAAGGCCTGCAGGCTTCTCACCGAGGACCCGCCTGAGCCTGGGTGCAGGCACAGGGTGGGCCAGGATGGAGGATGGGCAAGGACGGGCAGCAGAGCAGGTCTGAGGAAGAGCTTGCCTTGGCCTCTGGTCCTCCCTCCGTTCCTCCAGCCTCGCCCTATGGTCCCAGTGTTTCCATGGCCTCCCTGCAGGGTCTCCCCGCAACCTCTTCCTCCCGGGATGTCCCACAGCCCAACTTACCTTCCTTTATGTTCCCCAGGCCTAATGAACCCCTCACAACCAGCACCCACACTCCTGACCAGTGGCCCATCTCAGGTAGAAGTCAAGAGGAAGCTCCTGGAACCAGTTTATACTACATAGGAATGCCCAAAAGCCCTCCCCTTTTCTGTAGGAAACTATTCAACCCAAAGGAATCTCATTAGCTGATGAGGTTTCATTTCCAGAAACAGTGGAACGTCCCAGACAGTGGATGCTGGGGAAGACGCTCTGCCTGGGGGCCCCATTTCATTCTTCGACTTCTTCCACGCTCACCTGAGAGACCCTTCCGAGGGATTTCAGGGAGGATCCGGCAGTGCTGGTGGAAGGAGGACAGGGTGGTGGAGCGGCAGCTCCCGCACAGCTGGGTCGGGGTGAATGGGGAGTTGCAAGGGCTGGGGGCAGTGGCAGCTGAGGGAAGGCAGGGGTCTGCTTGGCCAGAGCATTGACAGAGTTAGAGGATCAGGGCCAGGGACTTGGAGAGCGAGACCCTGCCCCCAAGAGATGCGACAGACCTGGGCTTGAATTCCGGTCTGTCATCTACTACACTGGATCTTGAGCTGCTTACCCAAGTGCTCAGTTTCTCATCTGTGAACTGGAGATGATGTAGCCTGCAGCCAGATCTGAAGCTCTTCATCTGAGAGCTCACAGGGTCCCGGAGACCCCCACCTCACTGCCCGTCTGCCCTCTCCTCCCAGGTCATCGACAAGAACTCAGGAGGCTGGTGGTACGTGCAGATCGGAGAGAAGGAGGGCTGGGCCCCCGCCTCATACATCGACAAGCGCAAGAAGCCCAACCTGAGCCGCCGCACAAGCACGCTGACCCGGCCCAAGGTCCCCCCGCCGGCGCCCCCCAGCAAGCCCAAGGAGGCCGAGGAGGCCCCTGCAGATGCCAGCGAGAGCCAGGAGTCCCCGCTGAAGCTCAAGTACGAGGAGCCTGAGTATGACATCCCTGCCTTTGGCTTCGACTCGGAGCCAGAGCTGAGCGAGGAGCCCACGGAGGACAGGGCCCCGGGGGACAGGCGGCCTGCCCAGCCCCGCAGGCCCTCGCCTGCCGCGTCCCTGCAGCGAGCCCACTTCAAGGTGGGCGCATCCTCCGAGGACGTGGCACTGGAAGAGGAGACCATCTATGAAAACGAGGGCTTCCGGCCGTACGCCGAGGACACCCTGTCGGCCAGAGGCTCCTCCGGGGACAGTGACTCCCCAGGGGGCTCCTCGCTGTCCCTTGGCAGGAAGAACTCCCCCAAGTCCGCTTCACTCCTGAAGCTCAAGGCAGAGAACGCCCAGGCGGGACTGGGGAAGAACCACTCCTCGGCCTCCTTTTCCTCGTCTGTCACCATCAACACCACCTGCTCCTCCTCCTCCTCCTCCTCCTCCTCCTCCTCCCCGTCCTCCTCCCTGTGCAAGAACAGCGGTGACCTGAAGCCCCGCTCTGCCTCGGATGCGGGCGTCCGCGGCACTCCCGAGGCTGGCGCCAAGACAGACGCCGACCCAAAGGCCGGGCTCGCCTCCTGCACGCGGGCCAAACCGTCTCTGCGGCCCAAGCCGATACTGAGCCGCGCGGAGTCGCAGAGCCGAGAGAAGATGGACATCAGCACTTTACGGCGCCAGCTGAGGCCCACTGGCCAGGTCCGGGGCGGCTTGAAGGGCTCCCGGAGCGAGGACTCGGAGCTGCCCCCCCAGGCAGCCTCGGAGGGGCCGGGCCAGGGGCCCAGGAGGGGCTCGGCTGACGTCATCAGCGTCTCCTTGGCCTCCGCGTGTGCCCCGCGCAAGGAGCCAGCCGCGGCCGCCTCCTACGTGGCCTGCAGCGCCTACCAGAAGGTGCAGGAGTCAGAGCTCAGCTTCCCCGCGGGCGCCGCAGTGCAGGTGCTGGAGAAGCTGGACAGCGGGTGGTGGTACGTGCGCTTCGGGGGGCTGGAGGGCTGGGCCCCCTCCCACTACCTGGTGCCAGAGCAGCCGGAGGCGGCGGGCAGCGGGCCGAGCGAGGGCAGGTCGGACAGCCTGGAGCAGCTGGAGAGGCGCGTGCAGGCGCTCAACACCGTCAACCAGAGCAAGCGGGCCACGCCGCCTGTGCCCTCCAAGCCCCCCGCGGGCGCGGCGGCCGTGCAGATGAGGAATGGCGTGCGGCAGGCGGCCGTCAGGCCCCAGTCGGTGTTCGTGTCCCCGCCAGCCAAAGACAACAACCTGTCCTGCGCCCTGCGGAGAAACGAGTCCCTCACGGCCAGCGACGGCCTTCGCGTCCGCCGGAACTCCTCCTTCAGCAGTGCGCGCTCGGCAGCCGCTGAGGCCAAGGGCCGCCTCGGGGAGCGTGCCGCCCGTCAGGGCTCGGACTGCCCCCTGCCGCCCAGCCAGCGCAGCTGCGTCGCCGTGTCCCCGGTGCGCCCCAAGCCCATCGAGAAGTCCCAGTTCATCCACAACAACCTCAGAGACGTGTACGTGTCCATCGCGGACTACGAGGGGGACGAGGAGACAGCCGGCTTCCAGGAGGGGGTGTCCATGGAGGTGCTGGAGAGGAACCCCAATGGCTGGTGGTACTGCCAGATCCTGGATGAGGTGAAGCCCTTCAGAGGCTGGGTGCCCTCCAACTACCTTGAAAAGAAGAACTAGCGGAGGGCGGAGGGTCACTCCGGCTGCAGTGCCCGCTGCGCTGCCGCTGGGTGACCAGCGACGTGTACACGAGAGCGGCAGGACAGCCTGGGAGGGGGGAGGACAGCACGAAAGCCTGCGGGAAGTGTGACCTGCCCGCCACTGTCCAGCTGAAAGGCGGAGTGTGGCAGGAGGGGAAGGCGGGGAGATCTGCGCCTGGGAGCCGTGTCGCCCTGTGGTGGCCGCCGATGGACTGCACCCTTTGCCGGGCCACGAGGACGCCCCGTCGTGCCTTTGCCGCAAACCTGGAGAGGATGCGGTTGCAGCCGCCCCGCTTGGCTCCTCTTACCCTGAGGTAGCCCTGGTATTGTCCTATCTGACCTATTTAGGAATTGTTCAAGTTTCCCAGGGATGGCACTTCCCTCAGTGGTGGGCACATAGGAAGAGGCCGCTGGCCCTGGGGCGTGGAGCTGTCTCCTCTGAGCTCCTGTCCCCCGGGCCAGGCCACTGTCAGTGTCTTGTAGTTGAGGAAACGGGAGGTCCAAAGTGCCAGTGAGGGCTGGCCTTAGATGTCCCTGGCCTGGCCTTGGGAAGCGGGCCTGCCCCCCCCTCGGGCACCCCAAGGGGGCGTTCTCCTTGGGCTCTTTCTAATCCGCACAGACTGCCGGGTATTTCGCAGCAGGTGGCTCCTCCGCACGTTCCCAGAGAGGATTGTTCATTTGGGGTGATGTATCAGGCCTCTGGTTTCGCTTGCTCTTTCGAGTTGCTTGGGGTCCAAGGGCACCAGCCTCTCGTGGGACGGGTGGGTAGTGGGTGGGCTTGGTGTTGTACTCTGTGGGAGAGGTCTGTTTCGGTTCTGGTTTCTTGTGTTGCCCTGCCGGACGCCGGGCCGTTTCATTTGGTTTCCACTGTGTGGACAGTGCCGGGTGTGACACTCGCCAGGGCACTGGGGGCTGGGTAAGCCCAGGTCCCAGACTTAGCCACGAAAAACTTCCTGCCCAGCCTGCTGGGGAGGAGGGGTGAGCACTCCCAGAGGGAGGACTGTCACTGAGAGCCAGACACCGGAGAGAGGCAGCTGCCAGGCTGCAGGCGCCCCGGTTCTGTGTACGTTCTCCCTCTCGGAGGGCTCAGAGCCTCACACAGGAACTGTGGAGAGGCAGCCACGGCCCGGCCTGGGCAGAGGGACCAGAAGGAACACCACCAGCCAACCCTTCGTCCTGCTGCCAGTGCCAGAAGATGGGGCCCTGTGCCAGGCGACGGCGTGGTCGTCCACAGAAGCAGAGGATGGAGTCCCCTGTAGGGTCTGTCAACTGCGAGTTGTTCTTCTGTTGCTGACATTCCAGAGGGGACCCTCCAGGAAGAAGCTGGGCCTCCCCAGGACTCCCATCATGGGACTAGATTTCCGCACGTGCCTTTGTTTGGAGCAGAGCAGGCCTCAGAGCAATGGACGAGGGCCGCTTGCTCCTGCAGGGCAGGTCAGCCAGGACCCAGTGTCTGGTGGCCCCAGATCCCAGAGGCCTTGCCTGGGACCCCCGGCCCAGCAAACCACTCACGCCCTTTGTCCCAGGGCCAGGGTGAGGTTGTCTTGTTTCCTTTTGTTTTGCTCATGAGTTTAAAATTGAAATTAGTTATTCTTTTTTGTCTGCTGGACAGTATTAAATAGAGCAGGATGGTGAGTTAATCTGCTAGATTGCAGTACTAATGGTAGTGGTTTAGTGTCTTCATCTTAATATTATTTGTACTTATTTGAACAATAATGATAAAGAAGTGGTTCATTATTTTTTAATTAATGCACTTTAAGAGGGAATGAAAAGAAGCCCAGAGAGCAAAGTGCATTACTTAAAGATGCAGTATATACTTTTCTCATTTTTAAACAGCACATATTTATTAAAAGAAAAAAAGTAATTTATGATTATTTAAAATAAAAGTTAAAAGTAGAGTGACTGTTGGTGAAGGACCTTCCACATGGCTGTCTTCCAGGGGAGGGCCCACGGTCTCACTCCGCAGATGCCTGCACTGAGCCATCCAGTCACTGGTGCCAGCCGGGCCGGGACCAGGCAGGGGCTGCAGCCACAGAGCATCTCTAGGGCCAGCCCTTCCCGCCCCACCATCTGCACTGCCTCGGGCTCTCTGCCCCTGGGATGCCCTCTCCCAGGTTCCCAGTGCTCTGAAGCCGTGGAGTAGTCACTGAGCAGCAGGACTGGCAGGGACCGGGGGGGGGGGGGTCACTCCGTGCTGTCCCTTTCTGTTCCTGCAGCCCACGGCCAGGAAATGACCTTCCCCAGATCGCGCAGCCAGTTCACGGCAGACTGCCCACTGCATTAGTCCCTTGGTCCTCCCCCGCCCCGTACAGCGATCATGTGGTCATCGTGTTTACATTGTGATGTCCAGCCCAGGTGGCTGGGAGCTGCTCAGGCATCAGGGAAAGTAGAGACGCCACCGGGTGACATCGTGTCAGCCCTGCAGTGGCCGGGGATCACCCTGCCTCAGCCTCCGCCCCGCAGCCTCCCCTCCAGCCCCAGCCAGCCCACCACACCACACCTGCAAACCCAAAGAATATTCATACTTGAAGCAAGAAGGTGCATGCCCGTCAGCCCGGGGCGAGAGGGCCTTTCCCTAGAGCCACTGAGCTGCTTTGTGACTTCAGAGAGGGCTGCTGGCAGCAGTGGAGCAGAGAGAGGCCTGGGCTCCGACCCATCTGGAGGAAAACCAGACCAGACTCAAAGGAAAAAAGAACGAAATCTCAGCAGTGTCCAAACCTAGTTTTCCATTAGTTGCAATTGAAAATGTGAAATGACATTGTATTGCTGTATACTGCAACTTTAATCATAATGAGCCCTTCTGAGGTCATTATTGAGGTTTATATAATGCCCGAAGATGCATCATTTGGTGCTTTGTTCTTCCTTCAGTTTAAAGACATTTTTCTTTCATGACAAGGGAAAAATGATGTGCATCTCTCTCCCACTGTGCCCTCTGTCACAGCAGGCCTGGCTGCATTGCCTGGCTCTTCTTTCCACTAGGCCACAGGGCCTCGGAGGAGCCAGAAGGGGACCTGGGCAGCAGTGCTGCCTCCGCCGGGTCTCTGCACCCATTGGCTGTGGCCGGGCTCTCAGCCTGTCCACCCCAGCCTGGCCCCAGAAGTTCCTCTTCCTCAATTCTCCACCCTGACGAAGGCATTATATAGAATCATTGTAATCACTTTCAGATGTTAGAGCAGCGTATTTTACTGGCATTTATATCCATCGCTTTCCTCAGAAAGGCATGTTACCACTTTCATCCTCTAAGGAAAAAGGACAAGGGAATTCTGGCCAAGCATTATTTTCATATTACTAGTACCTGCAGAGTAGATGTAGAGCTATTTAAGTTTAGACCTTGGTTTAGTAGTTTGTTTTGTTTTCAAGGGGCAAAAAAAGATGAAATGGCCCTACTTTTCCTGTTTTTGTATTTAACTAATATATTATTTCTTTAAGGTTACTCACTTCCCCAACCCTCTCCAAATACTTTGCATTCTCAATCAAAAACGAAAACAATCTGAGAGCCAGGAAAAGTGCAATATTACAAGAGGGATGCCAGGGTCAATTGGGCAGAGGAGGGAGAGCCCACAGTGCCGACTGCAGGGCGGAGGGGTGGCTGGGGATCAGAACTGGAACGGATGGAGGGGTCTGTGGGCTTCGATGCTTCAGCCTCTTCTTGGCCCTCCTCCTCCCCTGGCAAGATGGTGGGGTCCCCAGAGGACAGCCCTTTTCACTGTAGAGTGTCGTCCACCCAGAAGAAAGGGATTCAGGGAAGAGGCATGGGCTGTGGTCCCGAGTGGAGGGCAGTCCTCCAGGATCAGTCCTTGCTTTGGTTTCCGTTGTTTGGTAGCCAGCTGCTCTGAGAGACCTGTCCTAAAAGCTCCCAGCAGCCCCCTCACCCCAGTCTCCTGATGTTCGGGCTACAACCCTTTTGATGGACGTTTGAATCTTTCTAAAACTGTGGAACCTCGGTTCAATTTACGGGCAGGATCCCTGGTCATAACCAAACCCGTTTGGACAGTGTGGGTACCCTAAGCCCTGCACCCCTGGAGAGAGCCACCTCCCACAGACCTGCAGCAGCCCTGGGGCTGAGCCTGGGTGACCTGCTTCACCCCCAAACCCTGCCCCACCCCAGCAGCCTCCACTGGGTCTGCCCAGGCTCTGCAGGCAGGAGTCCCCAGCCGGTACCACCCTGGCTCCCTCTTCGTCTGCTGGTGGAGGAAGCCACGGGATGGGAAGTCTGTGAGGGCGGGCGGCAGGCATGTCCTTGCCAGCTCGTCCCCTCCATCTCCGGGACCGTGCTTGTGGCACCAACCGTCTCTGCACAGATGGGGGTCTTTGTGCCCAGGGTAGGACTGGGCCGTGGAGGTGTCTCACTCTCCCTGGAGGAGGTGATCCACACAGCCAGTGTCTGAAACTCTCCATGCAAAGCTCTCTGGAAAGAGAAATGTCCACATCACTAACGAATTACGATTCCCTCACTTTTTTGAGGGCTGTGTGTTGTGTCTGTGTGTGCATTCGTGTGTGTGTGTGCACGCGTGTGTATGAGAGTGCAGGTAATTTCCCACTTGAACTAAATAACATGGGGTTGGAGAAAAATATCGGGCAGGCTGTCTCCACTGAACAAGTCCTTGGCATTGGGCAGGTCCCAAGGGACTCGCAGCTTCTGGGAACAAGTGTGTGTGTGTCATCCATGCACACAATTCTGGCTGGAGAGTGCAATGTGTCTTTTTATTATTATTATTATTATTATTATTATTATTATTTTATTATTCAGTTGGAAACTTCACACTGGCATTAACATCTAGCAGAAGCAGCCTAAGCCATCGTCCTGGGCTCCGGATAAAGATGTGGCAGAGAGACTGCTGCTGGACCTGGGAGTGCCCAGGTGGTTACATTAGCTCACCACCCGCAGGCGTCACCCCACAGGCCGACTCCCACCCTGGCCTCCGGGTCACCTGTGTGAGAAGCCCCGTAAGATACAAGAGCACCCGGCCCCTGGGTTCCAGTTTCTGAGAAGGGTCAGGCTGGCCAGGTGAGAACCGGCCCATAGGGCGCTCAGCAGGGCCCGCATGTGCCCAGAGCAGTGCCTCCGGTCTCAGCCAGGCCCTGCCCGTCCGCGCCATGACGCAGGGGGAGGGTTCTGGGTCTTACAGCGCTGGGCTGTCTCGTGCCTGGTGGAGGCAGGCCCGTGTGTGGTGCCCAAGCTCCCAAGCTCTGATCAGAGGCCAGGTCAGTGGCCCAACAGCGCTGGAGCCGAATGGCCCCACTGATTTGTTGTGTTCCCGCTCTGTTCAGCACACTTGAGTGCCCAGGCTGGAAGGCAGGCACGTTGGTGCTCACAGACTGCGTGGAGGGCTCTTCCTTCCCAGGCCTTGACCCCAGCCTGCCTGTGAGGCCGGGATCTGCATGTGACCGCCCTTCCCCTGTGCTGTCTTTCTCAACCCCGTTTGCACCCGACCTTGACAATCAGCATCCTCTCCCATCCTAGCCCTAGAACTTAGTGTCCTTACAGAGTGGGGTCCCAATGCTGAAGGGTCCCACCTTGCTCCCAGTCCCATCCTGGCCAGTGGCCTGGACCTCGGGAGGTGTGTGTGAGAGAGAATCGTCAAGAGCAAAAGGGTGGGCTGAGCACGTCGGAGCCAAGTGAGAGGTATGTTGGCAGAAGGGAGTGTGTGCACGTCCGGTATGGCTGGGGCTTCCCTCCCTTCGCTGGGGAGGCGGCCTCCGGAAGAGGTGTGTTCTCGGCAGACGGCAGGAAAGGTGTGGGGAGGTAGAAAGAGTTGAAGGTTTGTTTTGTCTTTATTGATCAGAAAGAGGGAAGAAGGTGATGCTGAGTGTTTCAGAAAGAAGACAGCAGGCAGGCAGAGAATTTCATGGTTTGACACCCAAGGGTCCAGCCAGAGCTGAAGTTTGGAAAATCCTCTGAATCTGGCCAGAAGCAGCTGGCCAGGGGAGTCTGGTCCTCACTGGCCACAGCTGATTCTCGCGAATGGTTATTGATTTGCTCAGTGCAGCGGGCAAGGGGAGTGCTGTAAGCAAGGCGAGTCTGAGTCAGAGGCCCGTTTCTGCAGGCTCACTTCCATCTTCCAGGCTCCCAGCTCACTGCCTGAGGCCTTCGTGCAGTGCAGAGCTGGGCTCACTTAGCAATGCGTGAGTATGATGGCCACCCCGCGAGGACGCACCGTCCCCAGACTGATGCCTGGGGTCTGTCAGGTCCACCTGGGAGGACAGCCTCACTCGCCGCCTCTCCCTCCACACGAGGCTCCTTTATACCTGCAGTGGTTCCGGCTGCCGGTCTGCCTGCCGTGGGAGGAGCTGGACAGGTGAAGAATGCCCATCGATATCCCCTTCCATTTTGTTAGTGGCTTCTGACCAGAGCACACTACTCTTAAAGAAGGGTAAATGGCTGCCACTCTCGAATTTTCAACTTGTTCTCTGCAACAGGCTTTAAGTCCAGGCTACGGGGTGGGGAATGGGCATCCCTGCTGGTTAGGGAGCGGTCTGCAGCGAGGGCACGGTGGGCAGGACGATGTGAGTGCCCATCACAGGAGCCGCTGTGTGGGCTGCGTGGCTGACTGCACTGGCAGGTGGCGCCGAGGCTCCAGAACTGCTGGAGATCCCTCATGGCACCCCCACGGCCCGGCCAGCCCCTAGTGGGCTCCACGGTGCCCAGGTCTTTTCCTCTTCCCCCTAGCAGAGAAACTGGAGAAATGGACATTACATGCGGTGCAGTCTATGTGAGTGCTAAATATTCCCAGGGTCAATGGTGGTGCTAAACTTTCTCCATGTTTCTGATAGTTCCAATGGTGGGCTTTTCAAATCTCATCACAAACATGCAGTGTCCTGGGAAGGGGACCCAGCCCCTTGGCCTGCCACTTTCCAGGTGTCCTTTATCAGTCTGACGGGACTCTGCAGAAATGCTCTGTCTTGGCATGCTTCTAGACTGTAAGATTTGGGTTGTTTTGTTTTGTATTTGGTTTATGTTTACATGCATCTTGTATTTCCCTGAAAACTAAATAAAGTTTTTGGCCTTTTTTTTTTTTTTTGGTACCGGGGATCGAACTTGGGTCCTTGAGCTTGTGCAGCCGGCGGCGAAACCACTGAGCTAAATCCCCGGCCCATTTTTTGGCCCTTTTAACTGAACAGAATCACCTCATTCTCCCGGACACCAGAAAACTCACTCACCTGGGAGTTCATGACCCCAAAGGCAGCACAGACCCCAGAGTCCCAGGGCCCTCTGCAAGGACATGGGAGGGGAGTTTCGTCCCCACTGCTGTTGCCGAGAGTCAGGCTAAAGAGCCCCAGGCCCTCCAGGAGGCTCTGGGAACCACAGCCCTGGTTTCTCTGCTTGGCCCCAGCCTCCCTGTGCGGGGCTCCTGTAAGCAGGGCGGGTGGCGCTGTAGAAGGTCCAAGGCCAGGCTGAGGCTGCGAACCCAGAGCACCCTCCCAGGAGAGAGCATGGGTGGGCAGGCGTCCCGGTGCCCTGCAGCCTGGCCCTCCCCCTGCCCAGTTCCAGCGCTGCCTAGACCTTGGTTCGGGTTGGCTGTCTCCCTGCACCCCCAGATTTTCCCACCAGCCAGGTGCAGCACTTAGCACATCTGGAAAGTCCCTTTAAGAGTCCTTGCCTGGGGAACCACCCAGGTGCACCTCAACCAGTGGGACCACCTGTGGGCCATCAGCAGCAAGTCACAGTCCTAGCCTGGAGGCTTCCTTTCCCCCTGCTGCACCACCCAGCTGTGGACAGGTGCCAGCACCTGGGTGGAGGGCCTGTTCCCCCCCCCGCCCCTAGGTGGCGCTGTCCCCTCCACGGGCTCCATTGCCAGGTTGGGCCAGCTCACCCAGGGCCTCCCACAGACCTTGGGACCTGTGGCCACCCAAAAAGCAGTGGCTCCTCCCTCCAAATTTACAGCCCCCCCCCCCCGGCATCCCTGGCCTGCAGTCCAAAGCCAGGTCACCCCAGCTTCTCCACCCCCAACTCCAGGAGTCTTCTCTGTCCCCCCACCCACGGATGAGCGCCCTCCCAGCTTCCACACGCAGCACACAGCCTTCAGGCTGGTATGAAATCACCTTTATTCACATCACAGCAACCCGAGCTCACAACGAGGCATCAACAACCCAGCACTGACAGAATGGGTGATGGCTGCTTCTCTTGCCAGGGGCCAGGCAGCCCCTGCACTGGCGACCTCGTCCCCAGGACACCCCTCCTTGGCTCCAGCCTCTCACAGGAGTGCCACGCTGTCCTGCCCAGCCCCCTGAGGCTGGCACACTGAGGCCTGGCCCAGAGACCCCGTCGCATCGCACCCTGGGCAGCCCCACTGAGGAGCCCCAGAGCCACCCCAAGAGCCTGCCCCGTCCCAAACAGCCATGTGGCACAGGGGGACCTGAGGTTTAGGGCTGCTGCCCAGCCAGGACCAGAACTCCATACCCTGCTTGCCAAGGGAGGGGCTGGGAGGCCAGAGCCTCCTGCTGCATGCTGGGAGCCAGGCAGCAGAGCCCTGCCCAAGAGCACTTGCTGCCCTCCGGAGACGGAGACGGGTCCCCAGGGTGCGCTTCATGCTCGGCATGACCCCTCAGCCCTGGTTGCCAAGGAGACAGCCTGCTTCTCTGAAAATGGACACGATGTGCTGGGCGCCTCCCTCCCCGGCCCTCAGGCTGGAGCGCCAAGCCAGGGCAGGGGAGATTTGGGGTGGCAGCCGCCTCTGCCGCCACCTTCACCAGCTCTTCTGGGGCCCAGGGACGGGAACTCGCAGGAGCAAAGCCCAGGAGCCAATAAATAAATAAATTAAAGGAAAGGGCTGCGGGTAGCCCAGAGGAGCCCCGCCCCGCCCCGCCCCGCCCCGCCCAGCGCCTCGGGGCTCTTCTACCTCTGAGGGGACACAGGCCCCAGGGCAGCCGCAGTGCTGCTCCCACAAGCCCTGACCGCCACACCCAAGGGCAGCGTGGGCAACAGCACCCAGGGAGATGACTGGGCCGGGGGCTGAGCCCAGGAGGGGCTGCCCAAGACTGCCCACCCACCCATCCCGGAGGCTCCGCTGCCCGGGGGGGAGAGGCCTGGCGCCATCGCCATGGTGAGGAGGAAAGGTCGGAGGAGGGGTGGCGCAGGCCGGAGGGCTAGACGGCAACTGCAGAGCTGCCCGCCTGGGTTCTGCGGAGAGACTGCGACCTGCTCAGGGCTCAGGGACAGTCGGCTGAGGGAGCCCAGGGAGGCTAAAACCCAGTCCCTCCCCACTGCCCCGGCCAGGGGCTCGGGCTCGGGCTCGTCTGAGTCTGCCCACAGGAAGGTACACGCTGCTAGTTCTCACCACACGGACGACAGGGACCGAGAAGTCCGCCCTGATGGGGAAGGTTTAGGACAGGCTGAGACCCCAACTTGAGCCTAAATTGGCGCACAGGGAGGAGCTGGGGAGAGCGCAGCTTCCGCCCGCCCTCAGGAGTGAGGTGTTCCTGCCCCGCTGCCCTGCCCCTGACCCCTTCTGTGCTCCAGCCTTCAGGGGCCTCAGATTCCCACGTTTAGTGGAAAAGGAGAAAGAGTTGCCAAGGTGAGAAGAGGGCCTGCTGGCTTGCCCCTCGGCTAGAACTGGGCTGAAGTCTGCAGAGGTGGGCGCGCCGAGTGGGCGCCGCAGCAGGCTAGGAGCTGCGATAGGTCTTGATGATGTCCTTGATGGGGCGGCGGCAGATGGGGCAGCAGGCATGGAGGGCCTTCTTGAGGCGCAGGCCGCAGGCATAGCAGAGGCACATGTGGCCGCACGTGTAGATGACCGTGTCCACCGCGTGTTCGTAGCAGATGGTGCACTCGTCGCTCCACTGGCCCACGCCCGGGGTCACGGGGGACTCCGGCAGGCTCACCGGCGAGTCGGGGGCTGTCCCTGGAGGCAAGGGCCACCATCAGGGGAGACGGCTGGTGCGGGCAGGACGCCTGCGCAGAAGCCTGCCCCCACGCGTGGGAAGAGGCGGAGCTCAGCGCCCGACTCTGCCGCCCGGACCTGACCTGGGCCGGCAGCTGTGAGGCAGCGAGGCAGGCGCTGCACCGATGGGAGTCTTCCAGGGCAGCCCTCTGCTGAGCTACCATCGCCCTCCCTTGTGACGTCAACAGAAAAACAAGCCCCCTGGAGAAAGCGCAGGGAGGGAGGGAGCGGGAAGGCCAAGCCACGGCCTCCGAGGCGGGGGCGCTGGGCACTTACCCCCGGCAGGGCTGCCCAGAGGCCCGGGGCTGCGCGGGCTGAGCAGCAGATCGGAGAGGTGGCCACCCGGGGCGCCGGGCGAGGTCGGCGTGGAGGCCGAGGAGCTGGGCAGCGACGGGACGCCCCGCTCAGCCAGGACGGTGGAGCCTGCACAGGAGAAGGGTGCTGGCCACCAGGGCGGAGCGGCCCCGGGCGAGGGGCCAGGCCTGACTCCGTGGCTGCCCAGCAGCCAGCACAGCTCACGGGGCGATACTCCCCCTGCCCTCAGACACTCTCCCAACCTGCCCTTACCCCGGCCTGCAGGTGCCCTCGCTGAACACAGGACTGAGCCACCAAGAAGCCCGGGCTGCTAGGCCTCGGTGCCCCGGCGTCCAGCTCTGTCTCTCCAGTTGGACCTGGACCTTTCTGAGATCTGCAGGCCCGGCCCACCTTCGGCTGCCCCAGCCCTCACAGAACACAGCACAGGAGCCAGTATTCCGGGAAACCTCACTACTATTACTTCTAACCCATGCAACCGCGTTATTATTTCTAGGCACATAGATAGGGTTTCTCTTACTACGTTAATATTTCAAGTCAATTAGCTTCTTTCAGAAATACTTCCTTTACTTTTCTTGCCTTATTGCACCAGCCAGCATCTTTAAAACATCTCCAGCTACGCGAGGCATCCCTATTATAGTTCTGTCTTTATTGAGACTATTTCTAATGTTTCGGCAATAAATGTGTGACTGGCTGCAGGCTTTGTGGCACAAATAAGTGAAGGTGGTATCTTTCCACTGTTACTCACTCAGGGCCTCCCCAAAGCCAGGCTTCCCTCTGCAAGGTCAACCAGGGCGCTGCACACACTGCCCAGCCCGTTCTCCTCGGGAGTCCATGGGATCTCCCGGCATCACGTGCTGGTGAGATGCCCAATCCTCCCAACAGCTCCAAGCACCCCGTCAGCAGTACTGGATTCTGGGTGCTACTCTTCAAAATCCATCCTGGCCCGCACACCTCCAGGGACAGCCGCGCCCTGATTTTTTTAAAGTTCTCCTTTGTCTCAGTCACACGCTGGCTGCTGACGCCACCTCCTCTTATGGAAGTCCGGAAGTCCCTTTCCCTGAGAGGCACTGCCTCACTTCTTGCCCCTCCCATTCAGTGCTTTCTACTTCCTCCTAATTCTCCCCCAGCCTGCTTCCTCTTTCTTCCTGCTTGATTCGGCTTCCCTTAGTTCTAGCTTCTCAGCACCTTGCTCGCTTCTTGTTATCCCCTTTTTATTTTCCACTGCAGCTGCACCTGGTCTCCTCCCAGCACAGGAAGTCCCCCATTGATTCTATCTGCTTACACAAGCGCTCCACACACTCACCATCACCAGCATCGTGCCACACACATACCACTTACTCACACGTGTCTCCACCCATGTGCCAGCCTCATGGAGCCCTGCAGGCTCACACACCCACAGGCATCATTCCAGCGATCACACTCCAGGGCTAAGGGCTACAAGGGCCCGAGGCTCCTCCAAACTTGGCTAAGCATACTTGCTTTAAAAAGTAAAAATAAGCTGGGCATGGTGGTGCATGCCTGCAATCCCAGCACTTGGAGGCTGAGGCAGGAGGATCACTGCAAGTTCCAGGCCAGCCTGGGCTACATAGTGAGTTCAAGGCCAGCTTGAACTGCATAGCGAGACCCTGTCAAAAAAAAAAAAAAGCAATTTGGGGCCATAGCTCAGTAGTAGAGCATGTTCCAGCCTAGCATGCTCCAGCACCAGGCGAAGAGAAAGAAAAGCTCAGATACCCAGAACGTATCCAGAGTCCACAGGACTGGGACCTCTGGTGGTGGGATCCAACGACCTGAGCTTTGAGGGGCTCCACATGAGGCTCATGAAGCCAGCCCAGCCTACCAGGCCTGGTCAGAGGTCCCTCAGTGGCAAAGCAAGGGCCTCTGCTACCGGGGCCCCCAGATGTGCTTTGTGAAAGAAGATTCCTGATCAAATTCATTTGGAAAAACTGTACCCCGCAACCACCACCATCCTGGAAAGACTCACACCACATATCAAAGGCTCTAAGGAGCCCTGCAATAGGAATTCCCCCGCTCCCCTTCTTCATCCAGCGTTTCCCAGACTTCAAAACCACAATGCCCCTCTGCAAAGGCCGCCTGTTAACGCCCCATAGAACAATGTGAGACACCAGTGTACAGAAACCCACCTCTCCCAGTCTGCTCCCCACCCTGACCCCTGGAAAGGAAGGCCCCGAACTCTGAGATCCCTATTTTACACACACCCGCACACACCCAGGCAACACCTGCAGACACCTGACTCCTGACACACCAACTTGTCTCTTTTTAGCCCCATGACCACACTTAAACCCAGATTCCTTTACTCTCATTGTAGAAAAACGGAAATTGAGCATCAAAAAGTTCGCTGCTGGAGGAAGTCACCCCCCACCGTTTAGGCAGTACTGGGGCTTGAAGCCGCGTCCTTCCCACTGAGCTACAGTCTCAGACCTTTTTCTTTTTTACGTTTTCATGTTTCTTTTCTTTTTTAAGACAGGGTCTGGCTAATTCTCTACGTTGCCCAGGCTGGGCTCCAACTTGCAATTCTCTTGCCTCGGGCTCCTAGGGTGCTGGGCTTCCAGGCGCGCCTGTGGGTCGGGGCGCCCATGGGAGGGGCCTGCGTCCTTGGAGGGCACAGCGGCCCAGTGCGGTCCGAGCTGCCCTGGGGGGCGGGGGGGGGGGGGGGGGGGGCGGGGGCACTCACCGAGGATGCGGACCTGCGAGATGGCGCCGTGCAGGCCGAAGAGCATCCAGAGCGGCCGCGAGACGTCCACGCACAGCTGCATGCCCGCGGGCGCGCCGTTGTGGCTCAGGTGCAGCTCGCCGTCGGCGGTGACCACCAGGCCCAGGATGTCGCCGCTGTGCAGCGGCCCGGGCACGCGGCACACGGCCCAGAGCTCCTCGCGGTCAGCCAGCGCCTCGGCACCGCTGGGCAAGTCGGAGGGCCGAAGGGTGCCGGGGTCGCACGAGGTCACGCCCCAGGAGAGCGCACCGGGCCGTGCTCCACCGGACCGCGTGACCTTGACGAAGATGGTCTCGGCCACGCGCACGGGCCGGCTGGTGAAGACGAGCGCGCGCTCGTCGCGCCCGTGCTCCAGGCGCGCCACGGTGTGCTCATCCAGCACGCGGAGGTGCGCGCCCGAGCGCAGCGCGTGGAAGCGCAGGTCGCCGTCCAGCTGCGCGGGCAGCGCTCGGCTGTGCTGCGAGTTGAGCGAGTTCTGCGGAATCGGGCAGCCGGCGGCCGGCGCCACCTCGTCGGCGTCGTTGCCTGGCACGTTGAGGTCGCACAAGCTCACGGACAGGCGCGCGTCGTCCGCCTCGCGCCGCAGGGACGGCCGGCGCAGCGCGGTGAAGGAGCGCGGCCGCAGGCAGTCGGGCAGCACCAGCTCGCTGTCTGCGGGAGGAAGCGACCGTCAGGCCCGCTGGGCCCTGGGACACAGGTGGAGGGCAAAGGCGGGAGGCGGCCGCAGGCAGCTGACTATGCCCTGGGACGAGGAATGAGCTGGGCGGGACCACGTGATTGCTCCTGAGTGTTTGGAGCCCACGCCGACTTTTCGACGCTGCTACAGCAAGCATGCGCAAGACTTAGGTTTCCGTGTTCTTGTTTGGTACTGGGATTGAACCAAGGCCCTCGCGCTGAGCTAGGTCTCCACCGCTTTTATTTTTCCGCACAGGGTCGCGCTAAATTGCCCAGGCTGGGCTTGGACTTGCGACCCTCCTGCCTCATCCTCCCAGTGCGCTGGGATTACTGGCGTACGCCACCACGCCCAACTAAGAATTTATCGTTTTTTCTTTTTTTGTTGTTGTTTTAAGTGCAAGGCCTAGGTTTGGTCCGCAGCAACTTCCCCTGCCCTTCAAAAACGTTTTCTTGTGTTACCCCGGGGCCCTCCTTTACCCAGCGCTGCTGCAGTGAGAGCTTGTGACGCCGGAGGCCACAGGGAACCCCGCCCACCTGCTCTTTGCGCAGGGGCTCGTGTGACCCTAGTCCCTGGAGTTGCCTCTGCCACCTGAAGACACCGAGGACACACTCATTCATCCGGAGGTGGCTCTGAGAGTGAGGCAGCTGGAAGTCAGGTCCTTTCACTTAATCACACAAGTGATACAAACTCTATTTTATAGAAAATACGATGCAGCCAAAAGAAAACCGTCTCTCTGCACCCACCCCGGGGAAAGCACTTTTTTAATGTTTGGATTACCACCTTTTAGCCTTTTTAAAATGTATTTTTTGGGCTTTTGTTTTTGTGGGGGTTTTTTGGTACCGGGGATCGAACTCAGGTCCTTGTGCTTGTGCAGCAGGCGGCGATACCACTGAGCTAAATCCCTGGCCCTTTTTTGGTTATTTTTAAGGCAAAAATTGAGTTATGCTATGTAAACACCAAGAGTTTTTAATGTTTATATTTAATAAATCTCTTTGGAAATGTGATAATGTTGACCTGTCTCCGCAGAAAGATGCACATGCGCACTGGTTCGGCGGCAGCTTCGGGCCCTCAGTGAACCGAGCCAAGCCATCTGTGGAGCTGGACTCGGGGCTAAGAGCCCCACTGCCAGGCAGTTCCTTCCTGAGCAGCGCACTTCCTGTGTCCCGACCCCTCTGCCTGCCAGAGCTGTTTCCAGCACTCATTCCTTGCATGCTGTTACAGGCCCTGCACCCCTGATGAAAATGAACACCACCTTCCTTAAAGCTCTTCCTCAAAGCAGCCCTTGAGGCGGCGGCGTGGCAGCCACGGAGCAGATCACTGCCGCCGCCCCACCCCCACCCCCACCCCCACCCTACGGCAGCGTTCATCACTTCAGACCCTCCTTGCTGGCAGACGCTACTGCAGCGTTCCCACGTCACCTGACTGCTGCCTCCTTGGAAGGTTCTCTCAGCGCCTCTGGGTGCTGCCTTCGGGGACTGGACGAGGGCGGCAGGAAGGCTGGGGGCACTGGTCTGGTGGGGACGGCAGAGGCAGATGCAGCTCCGGCCTGGGGGACACCCCTTTGAGTCTCCCCGTTTTCACCCACCCGCCCCGGCCCCTGCAGGGATTGTGTTGTCTGGGCCCCTGAGGTCTAGGCACTGCCCCTCCCCAGCCTCCTGCTGCTCTGGAGAAGCCTCCTGGGGCCTGGGTTTCCCGGTTCATGTGGGCGAGAAGGAGGGAGCCAACTGGAAAATGCGATTCTTCCAGAGAATTGACTCTGTGACAGCGATGGCGCAGAGGCAGGGCTATGCGGAGGCAGAGAGCAGGGGACCTGCCCAGCAGGAAGAGCGGGACCGTGGTGTGGCCTGCAGAGAACCTGTGGCTGAGCCTCGGGGATTCCAGAGGGCTAGAAGAGGAGGAGCAAACAGCAGGGAGCAGAGGAAATCAAGGGGCTCAGAATGTCCAGCCAGGCTGTGGCCAAGGCTGGCCACGTTTCCTGGGTGGGGCTGGGTGTGAGCTCTCCAGGGCTCCTCTGCTGTTGAAGATGCCAGCCCCTCAGTGTCCATGCCGCCTGGACAGGCTGTTCCATTGTTGAGCTAACATCTTTAAGAGTTTCCTTCCCTTACACTGTAATCTACCTCCCCGTATTTAATCCACTGACCTCAGGGAATACGTGGTACCCACACACCTTTCCCCCTTTTAGACACTGAACAGATCCGGACAGGGCTCCCGATGTCCCTTGGCCATCTCAAGGAACAGTGTGGCTGTCAACGCCACTGATGTGTGTATGGTACTTCTAATAATGCAGCCCAAGAGCACTTGGGTTTTCTTAGGAACCAAAGGCCGAGTACTGGTGGGTAGGACAGGAGGGAGTAAAGGCCCTCTATTTGAGCTCATCAGCCTGGGCTTGAATGCTGGCTCTGCCCATTTCCTTGGGCCAGGGCTCTGTGACCTTGGAAAGTAGTTTACCCTTGTGAGGTCTCTCTTCAGCAGTGAGATCTGTACCTGTGGGCTCGTACAGTCTGTGTTCCGAGCTTCCCCTTGGAAGGGGCGCTGGGACAAAATGCAGTAAGGTCCGCTGGCACCCAGGAGCATGGGTGCCTGGCCCATGATGACCATTAGGTAATAATGACCATTCATAGTTGCTAAGATCAGCCAGACCTAGTGGTGCACACCTGTAATCCCGGCACACAGAAAGCTGAGACCGTTCAAGGCCAGCCTGAGCTACATAGCAAGACTCTGCGGTTTTGTTTTGTTTTTTTGGTACGGAGGATCGAACTCGGAACCTTGCACTTCCAAGGCAGGTGCTGGAACCACTGAGCTAAATCCCCAGTTCCCGACTCTGCCTTTTAAAGAAGCAAAGCTAGTCAGTTTGCATTCCACACACCTCAGAGGAATGGGCCCTGGGGAGCCTGGTCCTGGTTTCGAATGTCCAGCCCAGCACATGGCTGGCCACCTTGGGCAAGCAGGTCCCTGTAGTCTCTGATGGGTCACCTGGGAATGGGGCAGGGGCACCTGCCTAGAGAAGCTGAGGCCAAGGTCCGGGCTAGAGAGGAGCCCCCGGCACCCAAAGATCTCTGGTGACGCCAGGGTTAGCGTCTGCTCAGGTCTCCTTGGTCACCCAAGGCCAGGCCCACCTGGTGCTTTTGGAGCCCAGTGTAAGACCTTACTGCAGCCACGATGGTCACCTAGGGAACGCCAAATGAAGTCACTGACTGGAGACCGGGAAGCAACAGCCCTAAGTGGAGGTCAGAGGTGAAGTGAGGAAAGGAGAGATGACGAAGAGGGGCGCAGAACGGGCCCCTGTGGCCTTGCTTGAAACACTCGTGGCGCTGGGAGGGCTGCTGGGAAAAGCTAAACGGCCCAAGTCTCTGGGGCCAGAGCCAGCCCAGCCATGTCCTCTCCCCCTTCCCCTCCAGTCTGTGGATGCTGGAGCAGCTGTAGGGCCTGGCCAGCTCCAAAATAACCTGCCCGTCAGGGGGCCCAGCTGCACTCCCTGAAATAGACACAGCCTGGGTGGAGCAGAGCCCTCTGGAGAGGCACAGCAGCCGCAGCCTGGGCACAGCGAGGCCACAGGGACAGCCAGGCCCATCCAGGGACAGCGTAGGGGGCCAACCTCTGCCCAAGACTGCACAGCAACCTGGACCCCGAGCAGCGGGGCAGCCCCATGTTTGGAAGCAACAAGTTAGCTAACCAGTGCTGCAGACACAGCTACCCTGGGAGGTGTTTACGACAGGCCGGGGTGGCACAAGGTCGCAGCTGGCTCACCATTTGTCCCCTCTTCCGGGATGGCATTTGTCAGCCTTCAGCTCCTGCCTATGCTGGTGCCCAGCGGTGGCTCTACAGGTACTTTGGGCCAGAGCAGAAATAACCTGGCCCTTCAAGAGCAGGGAGCCCAGTGCCAGAAGCTTCTTCGCTTACTCACTGACCTACTGTGTGCCCAGCCCTGGGCAGGGCGGGAGAGGCCACCAGTCCAGCCCCACCCACCAGGAGCCAGCAGGAGGGGACATTGAATATGATTTAGGTGCGAGAGTCTAAGCATTTGGGATTGGATCTGACCTTAGAGGAACAGAGCAGTTAAGGAGCTAGACAATCCGTTGGTCCCTGCCAGTTCGCTCAGCCTTGGCTAGAATGCCCCTGAGAACAGGAAGCTCACACCTCTCTGGCTCCCAGCCCCATCTCTGAATAGCTGGTTTGATTTGGTTTCTTCTGGTTTTCAGACAAGGTCTTGATATGTAGTTCAGGCTGGCCTTGAATTCACTATGTAGCCCATGTTGGCTTCGAGCTCATGGCAGACCTCCTGCCTCAGCCTCCAGAGTGCTGGGATCACAGGCATGCACCACCACACCCGGCTGAATCACTGACCATTGGAAAAGCTCTCCCTGTATGGACCTGCATGTCCTCCACTCCTTGGGGCCCCCGCTGAGTCTCCTGTTCCACAGGGTGATATGCACCCTAGAATAAAGACCTCCAACTGGGGCCGAGGCAGCTGAAGTCAGTGGTTGGGGAAGCTGCACTGGAGGAAGCAGGACCAACCTAGCCGGCCGTGAGAGGCACAGGGGAAGAGCATGCTGGGTGAGCAGCCTGGGCAAGAATAGCAACCCGGTGAGAAGGCCCCGGGTCAGCTGCCACCCAGAGGCCACACAGCCTGCTGCACTCGGCCCGCCTTGGCGCTGGCGCAGGGGTCTCCTCTCAAGCAGGCTGCCAGCAGCCAGGAGTCGCGTTTGTTCAGAGTCTCACATCCAGAGCTCGGGATAATCTTTAACCACAGGTTAGCCTGCAGCCACCCTAACGCCCGGCGGAAGGCGTTGCCAGGCCATTCACGTCTCCGTAAACATCCTCCCAGGCTCAGCATCTGGCGCTGGCCGGGCAGGGACTGGGCAGCAGAGGAGGGCTCTCTCCACCCAACGCAGCACCCTGAAGCCCGCTCGACCCTCTCCCATTCGTGCAACCTCAGGAAAGCCAGGAGAGAAAGGCTGGGGCTGGGGCAGACAAG